ATTACACCCGTCCAGTACCCATCATACACCCACGTCCAGTACCCATCATACACCCACGTCCAGTACCAACATATAACCCAGTCCAGTACCATCATACACCCACGTCCAGTACCCACCATACACCCACGTCCAGTACCCACCATACACCCACGTCCAGTACCCACCATACACCCACGTCCAGCACCCTCATACACCCACGTCCAGTACCCACCATACACCCACGTCCAGTACCCACCATACACCCACGTCCAGTACCCATCATACACCCACGTCCAGTACCACCATACCCCACGTCCGTGCACCACCATACACCCACGTCCAGTACCCACCATACACCCACATCGCACCCATCATACACCCACGTCCAGTACCCACCATACACCCACGTCCACCCATATACACCCACGTCCAGTACCCACACCATACACCCACTCCAGTACCACCATACACCCACGTCCAGCACCCACATCCAGTACCCATCATACACCCACGTCCAGTACCATCATTCACCCACGCAGTACCCACTCATACACCCACGTCCAGTACCCATCATACACCCACGTCCAGTACCCACCCACCCACCCGGCATCCCACCATACACCCACGTCCAGTACCCATCATACACCCACGTCCAGTACCCATCATTCACCCACGTCCAGTACCCACCATACACCCACGTCCAGTACCCATCATACACCCACGTCCAGTACCCATCATACACCCACGTCCAGTAACCATCATTCACCCACGTCCAGTACCCACCATACACCCACGTCCAGTACCCACCATACACCCACGTCCAGTACCCATCATACACCCACGTCCAGTACCCACCATAACCCACGTCCAGTACCCATCATACACCCACGTCCAGTACCCATCATACACCCAAGTCCAGTACCCATCATACACCCAAGTCCAGTACCCACCATACACCCACGTCCAGTACCCATCATACACCCACGTCCAGTACCCACCATACACCCACGCCCAGCCCATCATACCGTCCAGTACACATACACCCACGTCCAGTACCCATCATACACCCACGTCCAGTACCCACCATACACCCAGTCCAGTACCCACCATACACCCATCCAGTACCATCATACACCCACGTCCAGTACCCACCATACACCCACGTCCAGTACCCATCATACACCCACGTCCAGTACCCACCATACACCCACGTCCAGTACCCACCATACACCCACCAGTCATCATACACCCACGTCCAGTACCACCATACACCCACGTCCAGTACCATCATACACCCATCCAGTACCCATCATACACCCGTCAGTCCCACCTACAGCTACCATACACACGTCCAGTACCCACCATACACCCACGTCCAGTACCCACCATACACCCACGTCCAGTACCCATCATACACCCACGTCCAGTACCCACCATACACCCACGTCCAGTACCCACCATACACCCACGTCCAGTACCCATCATACACCCAAGTCCAGTACCCACCATACACCCACGTCCAGTACCCACCATACACCCAAGTCCAGTACCCACCATACACCCACGTCCAGTACCACCATACACCCACGTCCAGTACCCATCATACACCCACGTCCAGTACCCACCATACACCACTCCAGCACCCACCATACACCCACGTCCAGTACCCATCATACACCCACGTCCAGTACCCACCACCACGTCCAGTACCACCATACACCCACGTCCAGTACCCATCATACACCCACGTCCAGTACCCACCATACACCCACGTCATAACCCATCATACACCCACGTCCAGTACCCACCATACACCCACGTCCAGTACCCATACACCCACGTCCAGTACCCACCATACACCCACGTCCAGTACCCACCATACACCCACGTCCAGTACCCACCATACACCCACGTCCAGTACCCACCATACACCCAAGTCCCACCCACCATACACCCACGTCCGGTACCCATCATACACCCACGTCCAGTACCCACCATACACCCACGTCCAGTACCCACCATACACCCACATCCAGTACCCATCATACACCCATCGTCCAGTACCCATCATACACCCACGTCCAGTACCCATCATACACCCACGTCCAGTACCCACAATACACCCACGTCCAGTACCCATCATACACCCACGTCCAGTAACCATCATTCACCCACGTCCAGTACCCACCATACACCCACGTCCAGTACCCATCATACACCCACGTCCAGTAACCATCATTCACCCACGTCCAGTACCCACCATACACCCAATGTCCAGTACCCATCATACACCCACGTCCAGTACCCACCCACCCACGTCCAGTACCCACCATACACCCACGTCCAGTACCCATCATACACCCACGTCCAGTAACCATCATTCACCCACGTCCAGTACCCACCATACACCCACGTCCAGTACCCATCATACACCCAAGTCCAGCACCCACCCACCCATGTCCAGTACCCACCATACACCCACGTCCAGTACCCATCATACACCCACGTCCAGTACCCATCATACACCCACGTCCAGTACCCACCATACACCCAAGTCCAGTACCCATCATACACCCACGTCCAGTAACCATCATACACCCACGTCCAGTACCCACCATACACCCACGTCCAGTACCACCATACACCCACGTCCAGTACCCACCATACACCCAAGTCCAGTACCCACCATAACCCACGTCCAGTACCATCATCACCCACGTCCAGTAACCATCATACACCCACGTCCAGTACCATCATACACCCACGTCCAGTACCCACCCACCCACGTCCAGTACCCATCATACACCCACGTCCAGTACCCATCATACACCCACGTCCAGTACCCACCATACACCCACGTCCAGTACCCATCATACACCCACGTCCAGTACCCATCATACACCCACGTCCAGTACCCATCATACACCCACGTCCAGTACCCACCATACACCCACGTCCAGTACCCATCATACACCCACGTCCAGTACCCACCATACACCCAGTCCAGTACCCATCATACACCCCACGTCCAGTACCCACCACACCCACGTCCAGTACCCATCATACACCCACGTCCAGTACCCATCATACACCCACGTCCAGTACCCAATCACCCAAGTCCAGTACCCACCATACACCCACGTCCAGTCCATCATACACCCACGTCCAGTACCCACCATACACCCACGTCCAGTCACACATCATACACCCAAGTCCAGTACCCATCATACACCCACGTCCAGTACCCATCATACACCCACGTCCAGTACCCATTCCACCCACGTCCAGTACCCACCATACACCCACGTCCAGTACCCATCATACACCCACGTCCAGTACCCATCATACACCCACGTCCAGTACCCACCATACACCCACGTCCAGTACACATCATACACCCACGTCCAGTACCCATCATACACCCACGTCCAGTACCCATCATACACCCACGTCCAGTACCCATCATACACCCACGTCCAGTACCCACCATACACCCACGTCCAGTACCCACCATACACCCACGTCCAGTACCCACCATACACCCACGTCCAGTACCCACCATACACCCACGTCCAGTACCCATCATACACCCACGTCCAGTACCCACCATACACCCACGTCCAGTACCCTCATACACCCACGTCCAGTACCCAATACACCCACGTCCAGTACCATCATACACCCACGTCCAGTACACCATACACCCACGTCCAGTACCCACCATACACCCACGTCCAGTACCCACCATACACCCACGTCCAGTACCACCTCATACACCCACGTCCAGTACCCATCATACACCCACGTCCAGTACCCATCATACACCCACGTCCAGTACCCATCATACACCCACGTCCAGTACCCACCATACACCCACGTCCAGTACCCACCATACACCCACGTCCAGTACCCACCATACACCCACGTCCAGTACCCACCATACACCCAGTCCAGTACCCATCATACACCCACGTCCAGTACCCACCATACACCCACGTCCAGTACCCATCATACACCCACGTCCAGTACCCATCATACACCCACGTCCAGTACCCATCATACACCCACGAATAAAGGAGTTTGTATTATACCAGTGATATAAAAAATAAGTTAAAATAGGATAAAATAGGTACATATAGAAAAAAAATAGGACGATTCTATATTGAAATGACAAAACTAAGCATTTAAGGACTTACAACTGGGCTCAAATGATAATAGCAAGAAGGAATCACACAGTGTTCTTTGTAAGTGTCGTCGTGTTCTGTTATTCTTATGGGTAAATATTGCAAAGAGGTGAACAGAATGTCACTAATGAAAAACTGACGGCATGAGAGAGAGAGAAAGAGAGAGGTAGAGAGATCGTGACATTATTGATGTATTCTGTGCTATAAAGTTTTTCCCCCGAACTTCACTGAGGAAGAGAAAAAAAGGGGGAGTAGTCTGATCGCTCGCCAATATTAAGACCGCAATGGTTATATTATGATCGATCATGACGTTATATTGGCGAGCGATCATGACTTTATATTGGCGAGCGATCATCTAGATTACGATATGTTGAGCACTAAAGTATAAACGAAATATAATGCTATTTTCATAATGATCCACTTTGGTCCCATAACCTTCTATATACAGTATGTCACTGCATGGGGTAGTAGGGAATTATAGAGAAATATACTGACACACACACACTTTTTCAATGATAAGGACCATCACATTCCTCTAGTACTGAGAAATATATAGTGAAACATTCTTATGGGAGAGTGAATAACCTCGTGGATTGGTTTAAGGCACTAACACATGGTACATCCAGACCAGGTGTTGATACATATAGAATGTTGATTACCAGACATATTTATATTAGTATCATTCATCTATCGTGTGTGACAGTGATCATAACATCCATTCTTTCACCCCCAAACTATCTGAGATTTTCTACTATTTAACAAAGTGATAATAAAGGACAATAAAATGTCTACATAAGGGTAATATAACCTTAAGCAAAGCCTCGTCTACCAGCAGGAACAGCAGCGTTGGTGACCAGTGTGATGCCAGGAGGCGGTATGGTGGAGGTGTGGGTGGTGATGGGTGTGTTGTGGGCGGTGCTCACCCCTGCCCTGGCCACCAACAACACGAGGATATATAAGAAAGTCAGCAGCAACGTGCAAATTACCTCAGACATCCTCGCCTCGTACTCACTACCTGGGGTAAAGTATAGTATAGCTTCCTTTTATATCACACGAGAACGTCACAACTACTGCAGATAAAGAAAGATTATTATTTTTATTTTCCACACACAACTGAGACTCAACAATACTCTCAACAGACAACTTCTAGCGCCCGTGTACCGTGTGCGTCGAGGTGCAATACACAACACGGCTGCCAGGCCTTCAACCTCGGCCACAACCTCCCACACGAATGTCACCTCCTCAACCTCATCTTCCCAGAGACCAGAGTCCTGGCCCAACCCTTCGACCTTTACGTCTCTACTGACGGTAAGATGTTTAGCGAGTCTTTAGTTCACACTATGCAATATGGTTCTGTCATCGCTGGATGATCGTCATTTTCGATTCCAAGTCACAGCAGAGTAATAACAGTAGTAGTAACGTAATAGTCGTAGTAGTGTGTGTGGGTGTGTGTGTTATTTGTTTATTAATTGATTCATTCTTGTTCGGTCGACAGTAACTACAACCATCACCAACGACCAGTACCAGACGTGGGGGTATTGGAGGTCGTGGACCATGTGTGACGATGGTTCATTCATTCACAAGTGGAAGGTCAAGGTAAACACTTCTACAACCACCACTCTTGCTGATACTGTTGTCCCCAGCATTATGGGACTATACATAATGATAATAATCTTCAATTCTATAAACTAACTGCCATTTGACCTAAGGAACTGTGATGGCTTAAGAATGATAAAATATAAAAGTTGCTGACAAAAGTGGACCAAATCTTATATTTTCTTTTGGTAAGTAAATTGATTCCACCTATGTGAATTTAATTGAGCATAAATGATGAAAATTCTACAATGTTAAATGAAGGGAAACTTCACCAGTACATGCTAACATACAGCCAGAATACTCCGGCAAGACTAATCCCGGGCATTAGGAACCTTGAATATAGAGACAGGCTAAAGCATCTTAATTTGCACTCCCTTGAGAGACGTAGAGCGAGGGGCGACCTGATAGAGGTGTATAAGTGGAAGGCAGGGCTAAACAAAGGGGTCATTACAAAGGTACTCAAACTATCCAACCAGGAGCGAACTCGTAACAATGGTTTTAAATTAGATAAATTTAGACTTAGGCGTGAAAACGGTAAACACTGGTTTGGAAACAGAGTAGTGGATGAATGGAACAAGTTACCAAATATCATCATTAACTCGAATACGCTGAATAGCTTCAAACATAGGTTGGATGCTTATATGAGCAATAGGGGTTGGGTGTAAACGGGACTGCCCAGTATGGGCCAATAGGCCCGCTGCAGTTTCCTCCATTCTTATGTTCTTATGTTCTTACACCAACGCTCTCTCCACCCTGGAAATGCCATCCCTCAGTGACCTCCACCACCAAGCACTGGAAAGGGTTGGCCGTGGACTACTGCACCACCCTCGCCATCGCCATCTCCTGCAGCCCCCCACCCAACTTGAGCAGTCCGCCACTACAACAAAATTCAGCCCATAAGAGCCCGCACCGATAGATATAAGAACAGCACCATCCCATCTATTGTTAAAATAATAAACAACTCCTGATTTATGTACTGTACAGCCCTGTAAATGTATTCAATGCATATTATATCATTATGTCTAAATCAAATGTAAGTCTGTATATTTTCAGCCACCGGCTGCAACTCTATTAATAAACCGGTTATTATTATTATTATTATTATAACACAGTTTATGCAAGGTGGTATGTCAAGGGCAGGGTGAGTGAGGTGACGTGTTAGCCCCTTCAGGAATTCGTCTTACGTGGAAGGTGAAGCAAGACGTTCCGTCGTCAGTCCCCAGACAAGTCACCGGGGAGCAGACGTCCAGCTGTGGGGAAGTGAAGACAGTGCCGACTAACGGGACACATTTTGATTTTCATAACTCTACGTTAGTACGTCAGGGAGATAGTCTACTATAGTTTACACCACTGCTATCGGCGCATTCTTCCTTCTCAGTCATTTTGAATTTTGGTGTTGACCCAATACTATATCCACAGTCGGAAGAGTATGCCAACTCCACCATGGCTACAGACCATGTGGGTGTGTCAATAATACAAGTGACCTGCATCTACCCCGGAGGCGCCCCAGCCTCCGTCCTCACCCAAGGCGTCACTGACTTCATTCCTGCTGGGACCTGGAGCGGTAAGTGACCTGGTCATCCAGGGTCATTATTAATGTGCCTGTTTCATGTAGTGATTTCCTTGTTTTCAATAATTTAACATTGTTGTATATTACTGTAGGTGTATGTTAGTACGTCACTGTAGCCAAGTGAGGGGAACAGGTCCACCTTTAAACACTGCTGACGCTCCTCTGTCATCATTATATACTTGATGAAACAAACTTCCGTGTCTTCTAAGTAACGATATTTACGCCGCCCTGAGTAATTAAATAGGTTTTAGTTTCCGAGTACAAGTATAATATTACAGACTGAATATTCATTTATCACGGCATTTTGTTACCCAAAAGCTTCTAAGTTGCTGTTGAGTAAAGTACCCAAGCATAACTTAGCCCTTGATAAAATACATAACTAACTAACACGAGGATCTCTCAGATTACTTCTATTAATTAAGAAAATTGACATATTTCCGCCATCTATCTGGTTCTTTCTCTTATATACAACAAGTGCAGTAAAACACTTTAACGTGAACAGTACCATGGTCAGTATTAACACACGGATGAGAAATATGGGTATTAACTGAATCTTTATTACTTACCGTTAGTGCTGGAGTGTCCTGGTGGTACCTGGATGAAGGGCTTCACACAGGCAGTAACGCCCACGCTCGGAGGTGGTGATGACGATGCTCTTGCCAACATGAGACTTTACTGTTCCCAGGACTCTGCTGGAAGTGGAGTTGGTGAGTAGTCTTCCATACCTCAATCTATAGAGGAAGTTCCTCCAAAAGAATTTCAGAACAATTTCTGGATGTAAGTAGTGTAAAGATCTAAACATTTCTTTATGATACGTTGCCACACTAGACAAATATATAGTTTTATTAATTTGTTTTTATTGAGCACAAACCTACAGTATAACCAGCAGGTTAATATAGCCTTTAAGTTATATACAGTATTTAATTTTCTACACCCTCAGGGACTGAATTAACAGTGAACAGCGATTCGCGGAACCCATGGGGTACACCCTCACTCTGCCCCGAGGGATTTGTTGGGTGCGGCCTACGGGCGCAGGTGGAACCTAAACATTATCTTGACGACAGCGCAATCAGCACCGTCACCTTCAAGTGCTGCCTCTTCACTTGAATCTTTGTATGCAGTATTTTCCATTATTTTTATTAGAATGATATCATATATGAACCTGTCCAACATTGTGAAATTTATCCATCTATTCCTGAATTGGTGTTTTTGGAAATATTTATGAATTCTGTCACCTTCTCCTATAGTGTAACTGTTGAACTGAATTGAATTGAAACAGTTTATTTAGCCAGAAAAATGCAGATACAGAGTGGATAATAATAACAATATTAACATGGCTGAGCCAGTTGAGAACCTGAGCTCTCTTTTAGGCACCTGATATATACTATACATTTATCTCAAGGAAGTATTATGTAACATTTAGTAACATCTGGAATAGTACAATAGTATGGTGGTAATAAGTACATGTTACCACGGTTATCACTTCAATGTATATTTATTTTATTTATGCATTATATTTATTATTTTATTTATTTATTTTTTATATATATACATACATACACACACACACACACACATATATATATATATATATATATATATATATATATATATATATATATATATATATATATATATATATATATATATATACAGAGGAGGGTGAGATCAAGTCCACAATGGTCAGGTATTAGGTAATGAAGATTAGTAGGGTCATTACCCAATACCTGACCATTGTGGACTTGATCTCATCCTCCTCTGTATATATATAGTACCTTGTTATGTACTTCTCCTTAGTCTGTACTCACCCCTGAAGATGTGAATTACACGAAAGCGCTTGGGAACTTCGTGTTTTCTTTTTCCTTGTGGTTATCACCATATATATATATATATATATATATATATATATATATATATATATATATATATATATATATATATATATATATATATTACAGTGGAATTGAAAAATATAAGTATAATGGGGGAGCAGTACAACCTGGGTTGTACAGTAATAAGGTTGAACAGGAGGACAGAGCTGACAGGATTATGTCTAGTTTGCAATTATGTTTATTGCAATGGTAATTACTTATTTATTTACATGATAATTTCCGATAAAACGGTTTTGATGGTACAATAAAAGCAGGTACTGTAAATACAGTTATTGTTACAAGAAATATTAATAATTCGACAACAGATATTTTTTAAGAGATGATTTAAAGGAAGGGAGCGTAGTCTTTGCTCGGATGTGTGGGGGTAAGTTGTTCCACACCTTCACACCATGATATTTTATGGAGGTCTGGGACTGAGAGGAGTGCATGAGGGGTGGTTTTAGTAGCTCCGGGTGCCTTAAGTTGTGTCTTTGATTATTCCGGAACTGGAAATAATTATTGTCAAGCAAGTGATTGATAGTTTTGTAAACAAAGAGGGCACAGCAGTAGGTGTTAATATTTTCAAATTTAAAAAAATTTCGATATAGCAAAATTTTCGTTTGTGTGATCTGTTTTTTACAAGTAGGTCATTGTCCGTACAACTCTCTTTTATGCAGTAACCAGAGATTTTGTTTTTGAAGAGCCAGAGGCCTCCCTTAGTGTGTGACAGTGTATCAGGTGTTGGTAAACAAGTTCATGATAGATGTCTTTCATTGCACACTGTTTATTGATTTTACTGTGAATGGCTTGTATGTGGTTTCTCCAGTTAAGTTTCTCATCAACAATAACTCCGAGGAATTTAGTATTTTGTTCGCGTTTGAGGACTATATTACCAAGTCTGGGGGTAAGTTTTTCCTTCTGTGAAAGATCGGGTAGTGGGTTTTCTCAAGGTTTAAGGTCAGTTTATTACGTATTACCCAGGTCCCGACTTTAGTTAATTCAGTGTTCATAGTTCTCATCAAGGAATGGAGGTCTGAGTTGCTGGCATAGAGATTACTATCGTCTGCAAATAAGTTGTATTTTATGAGTGAGCTGGCGTGGACTATGTCGTTTATGTACAACAAAAACAGTACTGGACCGAGAATGGAACCTTGGGGGACTCCATACAAGATTGGCGAGGAGTCAGACTGGTGGTTATTATAGCAGACATACTGCATCCTGTTGGACAAATATGAGGTAAACCAATTGTGGGACAGGTCCCTAACGCCGTAATGTTCAAGCTTTGAAAGCAGGATGGTATGGTCGACAGTATCGAAGGATTTGGAGAGGTCCAAGAATATACCGACTGTGAACTGACTGTCATTAAAGTAATTTAAGATGTCATTAGTAAAGGATAGCAGAGCACTCTCAGTCGACCTTCTAGCTCTAAATCCAAACTGGGAGTCTGTAAAGATGTTATTGGCATTGCAGAAGGAATTTAGTCTATTACATGCTAGCTTTGTCCCCAGATTTTTTTATATGCCGGGTGAACTTTAGCAATTTTCAGTTTATCAGGAAAGACACCACTAGTGAAGGAGGAGTTACAAATGTGGAGGAGAACAGGTAGTAATAAGTGGACCACTTTCTTAATGATGCTCATTGGTATATTGTCTTCGCATGTTGCTGCATCTTTGGACATTTTTATTTTTATGATGGCCAGTTGTAGGTCATACTCTCTGTAAGATACAGCCACGATAGTGTCAGGGCCGGATTCAGGAGTGGGCAAAGTGGGCAGCTGCCCAGGGCCCTCCACAATCTGGGGGCCTCCACATATTACATTATTTTATTTATTTGTTTATTCATTTGGATTATTTTTATTTCATTCTTTAAAATTCAAGTTTATCTATTCCATCACGTAAAACTATGTTCAGCAAGAAGCGTGATAGAAATTAGGCTAACTACTTGGACAGAACCATTATTTGAGTAGAGGTTTATCTGATTACTAATGCAAAGAATCATCTCTCTGTAATAACTAATAATATATTCTTTTCTGTGAAGTCTCTTGAAAATTTTTGACATGTGCGGTAGTAGCTATACAGGGGTGGTCGACTTGAAACCACATGAATGACTCCAGTCATGTCTCATTGATTTTTTCTATTTTGCCGCTTGCAGCGGCTACTTTATTGTGCACCCCACACTCATCCTGTGAGCGGTAGCGCAAAAGGATTACAGAGTAGGGTTTACAAAGGGTCATAATAATTAACCCCGGTTGTCAGGATATTATGGCACCGAAAGTTACACAGTATTTCATTTACATTATTTGTTTAGTTCTATACATAAAGGGTAACTTATTCACAAATGCCTGAGAACAGGCGTGTGAGGCAGTATGTCTGGCCTCACACTTTGTTATTCACATTTACGTGAGAGGTATTCAAGCACATTGCGTATTTGGGTCTGTAAATGAGAATTGATATAGTTACTAAGTGCAAAAAAGTGGATACAATCTTAATATGTCGGCTATCTTGCCATTAGAGATGAAGTGTTGTGCCATTTCACACACAGTGTGCTTGGACCTGTCCACTTTTGTGTGTGTGTGTGTGTTGGGAATTTGTGCACTATCAATAAATATACAGTCAATTAAAAATTTCTCAATGTTCTAATTTCCTCAATATAACTGCATATGGCTTCAAAATTCTCCAAAGAAGTGTTCAAATTTCTAAATTTTCTCAGGGGGCTGACAGCGCCCCCCGGAACTCCCAGATGTTTAGGCTCGCTTCACTCGCCACCCCACCCTCTTGGGTAGTTATGAGGGGGGCCTCCACAAAGAGGCTGCCCATTAGGGGGCAGTGAAATTTTGCTCAAAGCTGCACTCTTCAGGCATTGTTCCTTATACATATCTAAGACTCCATGCCAAATTTGAAGCTGATATGTCGAGGTTTAGTCTGCCGCATTTTCTATTGAAATTTTTAAATTTACCTACAGTACTAGCCAAACAGCCGCTGTGGCGGTGCAATGTTCTGTTCAGTGTTTATCAACTTTTTTTTCATATCTCTTATTTCATTTAAGTTGTCTTGTGGCAGATGAGTATGGTGCTATGTCTATATTGATTATTAGCCTTTTCTCATTTCATTTCTCAATGTTGTGTTACTGTACTGTAATGTAGGGGAGACCTGGGTAAGTTGGCGCACTTGAAATTGAGATGGCTAGTTTAGATAATTTGCACGCGAGGTCAAGTCAAACCCAAAGGCGTTTTACCGCTATGCAAAGTCGAAATTGAAAACGCGAGTAGGAGTATCAGACCTGAGGCTTGAAGATGGTAGTTACGCAGATTCTGACCAGGATAAAGCTGAGGCATTGAACAGCTTCTTTTCCTCAGTGTTCACAAGAGAGGATGCAACTAACCTTCCTGCGTTTGAGGACAGACGGTTCGACACAGCACTGACCCACATTGTGTTCACAGAAGAGGGTATTAGAAATAAACTGTCCAGGCTAAAGGTCCATAAGAGTCCTGGACCTGACATGGTGCATCCTAGAGTGCTAAGGGAGCTGTGCAACGAGCTTGCAGAGCCCCTGAAGATTCTGTTTTGTAAATGCCTGGATGAACAAATGGTCCCCAGTGAATGGAAAGTGGCTTATGTGAGTCCTATCTTCAAGAAGGGCGATAGGCACTCCACGAACAACTATAGACCGGTGAGCCTGACCAGCATAATATGTAAAGTACTTGAGAGTATTATCAGAGATGCAGCGATGGAACATCTACTACGAAACAACCTTGTAAAAGATTGCCAACACGGTTTTATGCCGGGGCGCTCTTGCTTGACACAATTGCTCAAGGTATTGGATATTTGGACCCATAT